TGCCTATGAACTACATCAGCAGGCCCGTAGGACGTACACCCGTGCTCGAATAAATATCAAAGGTCTCGATGATGTTTGGCAGCTGACCTCGTGNGGTCTCGATGATGTTTGGCAGCTGACCTCGTGGAAATGCGCGCATACCCCGATCGACGTCATCGGTATATTTTAACGTACATCGATGGATTTTCAAAATATGCGTGGGCCATTCCGTTGAAAAATAAAACAGCCAAAGAAGTTACTGCTGCCATGAATGGAATATTAAAACAAGGTCGTCATCCTAAACTTTTGCAAACGGACAATGGTAAAGAATGCTACAACAAACAGTTTCAAAAACTGATGTCACAATATGCAATCAATCACTATTCAACTTATTCCACTATGAAAGCCTGTCTCGTGGAAGTTTTAACCGCACGTTCAAAAACGCAATGTGGTGCAATTTTAGTGCACGTGGTTCGTACAAGTGGGTGAATCGGTTGCCTACGCTGTTGCACGAATACAATAACGTGCGTTAACATAGTACAAACGGAATGATACCGGTGCAAGCTGTGCAAAACCCCGACCTGGTTCGATTCAAGTTACGCAAAATACCCGATAATTTACCGGTAAAATTTCACGTAGGTGACAAAGTTCGGATTAGTGTACATAAAACAGTGTTTGACAAGGGTTATTTACCTAACTGGAGCACCGAACTATTTACCGTAGTCAAGGTTAGACAATCAGTACCACCAACTTACTATCTAGAAGATTATCAGGGAAATCCAATACANTTACTATCTAGAAGACTATCAGGGAAATCCAATACGTGGTGTGTTTTACACCGAAGAGCTGAACAAGACCAGTTATCCGGACATGTATTTAGTCGAACGAGTGTTGCGAACACGAGGAGGTCAGTGTTACGTTAAATGGTTAGGATTTGGCCCAGAACACAATTCATGGATACCGAAAACTAATATCTTACCTCAATGATTGTCGATATACAAGGTATTGTAGCAGCTGACCGATCGTTTTTGGTCAAGGAACTGACTGCTATTGCCATAGACTGCACTTCTTTCGCCCATTGGATGTTCAAACATCCAAAAAGTATCACGGAGGATACTAAAATAAACTTTTGGTTGAAAAAATACCTACATGGAATGGTTACACGTTGCGGGGATGTGGAATACAATGAGTTGCCGATAATAATGAAACTCTTGCGATGCGAAACCATTTACGTGAAGGGAGCTGTAAAAAAGCGAGTAGTGGAAAAGTACATACCGGAACAACGTATAGTCAACGTAGAGGATTTGGACTGTCCTCCTCTATACAATTTAAGTTGTGTTACAAAACCATGTTGTATTCGACACATGAACAACCCAAATATGTGCAGTTTATATAAGTCTTGCAAAAGCAACATCAACTTCTATTAAAATAAAATACAAAACCCATAATTATCATACAAAAATAGTATATTTTTCAATATGGTAGCCATTTGCGTATAGAAGATAGATCGTCGGGACAAATTTTTTTTTTTCATTTTATAGTACATAAAATAAGCTTTAATTTTATATATGTTTAAAGGACGCAGTATTTCCGGAACATTTTCAAAAGTTCAGTTGAAAAAGATTTATGTTTTTTACAATATTTTAAGTTTTGAACGCCCCCTATATAAGGAGAAATTGTCCAATTTTAATAAAAAGTATGTCAAATGAAAGATGTACTTATAATGTATTTAGAAAAAAAAAATTTGTGCTGATATATACATTTTTCAAAAAGTTATAGCATTTTTAAGTTGAAAATTTAAAATCGAAAATCGAAAATTTTAACACAAAAATAGTGTTTTTTTAACTACGGCAGCCGTTTAAATGTAGAAAAAAAAGTGTGGGGACAAATTTTTTTTTTTCATTTTGTAGTACATAAAATAAGCTTTAATTTGATTTATGTTTAAAGGACGCAGTCTTTCCCGAACATTTTCAAAAATTAAGTTGAAAATATTAATTTTTGTAAAAAAGTT